GTTTATAAGACAACATATGGATTTCATTAATATCACATGTATAAGAAAGGATGCTACTTGATAATCATTCCTTAATGGTTTGCCAACTATGTATTTGCCTTCAGCAGAAAATTTTGCAGTTACCTTTTTATTGTGTATTTTCCAGAAACACCACTGGACTGTGAAGTTTCACAGTGGTCTTCCTGGGGTCTCTGCAGAGGTCCTTGCAGAAAAACAGGAACCAAGATCAGAACTCGTTTTGTAGTTCTTCACCCTGCTAATGATGGAACGCCTTGTCCAAGTCTGGAAGAAGAAGCAGGATGTGAACCAGATAATTGTGTCTGAAATAAAGAAAAGATAATAATTTAGATAATTTAAAAGTAAGATAAGTGTAACTAAACCTAAACCACATGTCATTCAGTCTTCCTTATAATTCAGGTATGCCACACTATTTTGCTGACAAGATATATTAGACTGGTTTTGAACATTGCTGTTTAGTATCAAGACTTTGGGGTGTTACATTCTTAAGGTTTAGTATGACAACAGTACTTCATCATTTACAGATCAGAAAACTCAAATAAATCTCTGTTTTACACTCTAAGTTCTTGGAGTACCCTCTAGTGGCAGAAAAGAAGACATTTGGAAAGATTTTGCTTCGGATGTGAAAACCATTCAATCAAAAAATCTTAACTAATAACATTCTTAAATACTGTAATTTGTTGATTTACAACTATTTATACCTAGAAATTAATTTTTTTTTCTCTAAATTATGTATATTGTAATTTATTGGCTATTTTGTTGTCTTTCTAAACATGTTTTACTTGCCTTTCTTCAGAAACTACTTCTATAAATCAGAGTGACCAGATTTTTGCAGTGTGGCTAAGACAATAACATGATTGAGTAAACTCATCTTGAGACTTATGAATACATGGAAATGTCTTTTTTTTCCCCCCTTCAAAAGTGAGAAGAATATCTACCACGAGGACACTCAGCCAACAAAATTACTAGAAAGAAACAGAAGTTTGGATAGCAGTAGAAAAACTCTGAACTTAACTTTAAAAGCTTAACTGAGATTTCAGACCTGATCGATGCTTAGTGTGTGCCCCTAATGAGGCAACTGTCTGAAAAATAGCTGTTAAGACATTAACACTGTTGGCTGTAATAGAAATTATATAATTCTCTCTGTGTACGCAGTAAATGTGTCCATGTTTCTTTAAATGTGTTTGTTGCTGTTTGTGTCATCCTAAACTTTGCAAAGAGAAAACTTAATGAGGTTCTAATACTGTCTAAGGCAGAGGTATACGCATATCTAACAAAACACAGTATGTCAGAAACCACTCCAGATGGCAAGCTTTAATGCTCATATAAATGTTTATTATAAAATTAAGATGATCCGTATCCCATACAGAATTGTGACAAACAACTAAGAAACGAATTTTGAAGTAAGACTGTTCATAGGAGATATTTACAGTCAACTCACAAAACTTTTACAGCACATTGCAATTCTACAAACACACTGAAGCTAAAGTACTGAATAGGAGACAGTGGGTTGCATAAGTTCATTTTGGAATATTTCAACTACAAGAGCACCCTGTATTCTTTGTGGAGCAGAAACTTGTAAAAGATTCTCTGTATTTATTTACAGGAGATAAATCTTACAAAGACCCAAGGGAATCTGAAACATTATCAGGCTAATCTAAGTTGGTCCTGAAATGCTGATGAATGCACAGTTGTTAGAGCTAAAAATAGGAGTTTCTACATCTTACATTCTTCAGGTTCCCATGGGCATGTTGTCAAAATTATGTCACTATTTTTTTATTATACCTACCTATTTTCTTCATGGTCCCCTATGTCCATTCTCTAATAGAAAGAATGTTAACAAAATATAATTTATATATTTTGCTTCTAGTTACTTTCTCCTTTTCCAGTTTCTATCTTCTTTGTATATTAATTTTTCCTTATTTAATATTTTCTGTTAAACTTATTTACTGCATAGTTAAACAATTATCTCCATCTAAGAATACAGAAGCATATACTGAAATATGCTCTGAGGACAGAAACTGAATTCGAACAGACACATCAACTGCTTGTAGACTAAACTTCCACAAGGTTTTGCTGAAGTGCAAGGTATTCTTAGTAGTATTTTTCTAGAAGTTCTCTAAACACTGGAGTTTTGGTTCTTTGCATGTCCAGAAAAAAATACATAAGACTGGCAGAAAATATCTGCATCTGTAGTTGTCTATGTGAATAGAGGATTTCAGCCTTGTAGGATATGATGCAATACTGGAGTAGTCCCAGCATTTACTCAAATTCCTGATGCCAAAAGTTTTTCTGGGAGAAGATAGAATAGAAAAGGAAGTAAATATATAACAAGACAACACATTTCAGTGTTAGAAATACCGGGGACGAGGACATTTCTTCACAAGATTCAATACAGTGAGTTCTACTGAAGAATATTCTCATGCTAGAACACATTTCTCATAATGTTTTTTTATTAAACTGATTAGTGGGATATGTGATCCCTGTGTGGGATTGCTTCGTTACTTTTACTTTGAGCACAGCTTTAGATTTATCTTCACAGTTCTGAGACAATGAAGAAACAGAGAGAATCTCTTTCTTACTTTTCCCTTATGTGCAGTGTTACTGATGGCTGGCAGCCAAGATAATATGGTCCTAAACACATAAGATTAAGGGAAGGAAATAGGTAAATTAATTTCTGGGTTAAACTAATCTCAGAAAACGCTTAGGGAATAAACTTAAAATGGATTTCAAAGTACAGGTTTTTTTTAAGCAATAATGTTATGTAGGAAAAATCATGTTTACTGTCTGGGCAGGCATTCTTGCAGCAACAGAAGATATGGTTAAAGGTAAGTGTAGCAGCAAATAAGTCACTGCTGACTTAAAGCGTGGTTCTACAAAACACGTGGACACCAAATTCAGTACCCATAGTGCAATAAGGTACCTCACTACTGAGTACAGCTTGTCCACTACCCTAGGACATTTGGTTGTGAACATATGGAAACTTTTTCTGTTTTCTGATGAGTAGCAATGCCATCTGAAGCTGTCTACATTTCTGCGTGTTTTTTTTTTTTTTTTTTTTTGTGGGATGTTGCTTTGCTTTTCTGCAGACATCCAGAGCCTTGGTGCTTACTGACTTAGGAAAAAGTACATTTCTAGATAAGTGAGGATAGATGAGGGACTAATGTGATTGGTGAACTGAAAAGATCTCCCACATACTGAAGTGTAAATGCTGGCTGTGTAAGCCTTAATGGACTATACATTTAGTTCTGCCAGATAGTCCAAAAGGACTGGGATGGCTCCTTGGGGAGTGTGTGTGTCCTCTGTTAAATATCAGTATGGGGATGGGTGGTCTTGGCTTCACTGCAAAACAGCTCCAGTGTTCTAGCCATGCTGCAGAAGTGAAGCACAATCACAGATACTAGTGAGTTCCTAACTTCTAGAACAGGAGGGAAGGTGTAGGCCAGCCTTTCTCATCACTATGAGGACTGTCCCCAGCATAGCAAAAGGGTATGAACAAAAGATATGACACTTGCTAATACTGAAAAATATCAGTGCTGGATACTGCCAATACCAGGTAATTAATTGGAGTACTGTGGGAACATTAAACCTGATCCTACCTATAAAATAACTCAGACTATTCCATGACAATATCTAATGCACTCAGAAAATTTCACTCTTGAAATCAGCTGAATCCTGTTTAATAGGATATGATGTGTGAAAGAAATTTTGTCCATGATAATTTACAGGTACTCTAAATGACTGAAATAAAAAGCTCTTCATATAATGCACAGCACCTGGTTGCCTGGAGACTGATTTATCCTTGTTTGATTGAAGTCCATCAGCCCTGCTATGATAGCATATGCTAGCCTGAAGTATGGAAGTGCCTGTCTTCAATGTGTTTAGATAGAGTAAAGGATCAAATGATGTCCCCTTGTATGTCTTGCTTTTGTTCTGGCACTGGAACATTTTTTTTTAGAGATCTCAAGTCAATAAAAAGCTAAAAGGGTGCTTGCTTAAGTAGTTAACTATCTGAAGCCAAACATGTTCTTTCAGCAGGTGCAGAAAGGCATGAGAATTTATGCAGGTGCATGTCAGTCAAGAACTCCCTGTTCTGGAGAATCCAGTTATGCAAGCAGATTCTAAACAATCTGTTCTTATTTGTTCTGAATCCATCAGAACAGAATTTCCATCAGAAATTTATTCTGATGGATAAATGCTAAAGTAGTAATGAAGTCCTAACTTCACTCTTGAGGCTGTTCAGGATCTGATGGCCATGAGATGTGATTTATATATCAGTAGAACAAGGAGTACGAGGATCTTCTGAATGGAAAACTGAATTCAAAATGGGGTCCTCCCAACTGAAAATTACCCCAAAGGTGGGTACATTGTGCTGTGAAACACCCACATATTCTCTCACTTTGAGTAGTAACTGAGTTTGTCATCAGCCATATAGATTGTTTAATTTGTAATGGTACAAAGGATATTAATAAAAATCTCAATAACTACTTGATTTACAATACAACTTTATTCAGAGAATTTATTATGCAGTATCCAAGAAAAAAACAGTTAAGTAAATAATCTTATTTAGATAAAGTGTTAATTCAATATTTTTTCCTTTTATACCATAAACATTATTGTTTCAAATTCATTTTTTGTTCAGGTTCTTCACTTCCTATTTCTTTCAGCCTTTTTATGTAGTCGCTATGATTTATGTACGGATATTGCAATGATGATGATTTAGGTTACAAATTACAAGATTCTGAAATAACAGAGTAGTGAAATTTTAAAGCACATTATCACTGGAGAGGAATCAGAAATGTAAGTTTACATTGAGCATTTTATGGAAAGAAATAGCCAATGCGGTTGCTAATAGAGAACCAGTCTCAAGTACTTGAGAGATGCTTCCAAGTTTCATACTACTGTATGTGTATAAAATAAAAATTTAATCTAGTTGCTGGGAAATAATAAAGATTTTACAAGTTTTCTTGTTATCTCATTCTACAGAACACGCTGTGGTTATTTATAAATGTGTAACCACCAGCTGCATTTTCTCATACTTTTTTCTCTCTTTCAAACACACACACTGATAAGCAGCAAATGAGGAAAAACCGCAGGGCTACATACTTCTGCAGTTATCTTCAAAAGCAGTGATACATAAACAACTGGGATACATAAAAATAATGAAAAGCCAATTAATCGGATTTCTTATGAGCTTTTGGATTTCTTTTTCACTTGCTTTGTATTTTCATAGTGGAGAAAGAGAAGAGAAATGTGTAATTGAAGATGTTCCCAGTGACACACTGGTAACTGGTAGGTACCTGTCTTTGCTATATGGTGATCTAACCTATGCAGTAATAGAATTAGTTTGTAATTTAACAGAAAAAGATGTGACTAATGAATATAGTAAAACTACAGTGATAAGAAAGAGGGCACACTACAAGTCCCTACAACAGTGACTAGCCACCATGTCCTCACATATTTGGCATGTAGATTACATAGAAAAAGTTTTCCAGAGAGCTTGAGAGACCCAACATAGAAAAAAGTCTTCACATTATGTTATGACACATTCATACCAGAATTTTTTAATTAGCAGTGTTTTGGAAAAAAATAGTTCAAGATGTACTGAAGTTCTATTCAATCTGGGATATCACAAATATAGTAAATGCATGTACAGCACGTGGTGTGTAAGATTGAAAGGTGGTAGTTAAAATGAGTATACAATAGTTTTTGCAAATAATGTGATAAATATGAAAGACAATTTAAAACAATGTGATTTGAAGACAGTATACTTTCTCTTCTGGTGGTCTCAGTTTGTCCTCTGGATGCTGATCTTGCCAGAGCATTAGAAGTAATAAAAAAGTATCACTTGTTAATCAGTCTTTTGTCTAGTATTCTAAGATTTCCTAGTGTAGTAAAAATTCATTGCACTTCACGCTGCTATGAAATGCCTCCTGAGTAGTTTCATTTGTAAGTACATGAAATACATGTATTATTTTATTGCTAATCATTTGTCTTTATATTGTTGCTGGAAAAAGCAATAAGGATGTTTAATATTAAGCTATGTTTTATTTAACAGATTTTTATCTGTGTTTTTATTCAGGGAATTACAAAGTACAGAAGTGGGATATGCATAAACATGACTTTCTTGACTCTGCTCCTGGTTTAGGAATGTTTGTGACTGTTCTAACTCCTACCTCTGAGGTAAATATTCTTAATGAATGTTTCTGTGTGATTCGTGTATTGACTTCTGATACTGGCAGACAAAACTATCAAAAAGTACGGATGTTTTGGGGATAAAGTGAATCCATAATCCATCAGCCAGCTCAGTATTTTGATGCTGAAATGTATAAGCACCTCGTGATTGTTATCAGAATAAATAGAAATGGCATATTTGAAAAAGCATATGGAATCTTTCGTAGTTTTGTGGACAATTTTTTGCATGTCTACCAGAAGTGCAAAACTATGTCATAAAGACTAGTAAGCTACAACTGAGAAAACAGGCTAGATTGTAAAATAATGGAAATTTACTAATGAAGCAAAGTGGTATTTGAGCAGCAGACAGGAAGGCTAATAATAAAACAAACTATAAAAGTCCAGATTACTAGGCTGCATGAATCCATCATGCATAGCAACTGCTTCTGTTGCCATGAGCCCCCGAGCTTTTTCAACAAAGGGCAACTAACTCTATGCCTAAACAAGGTCTTAGTTTTCAAACTTGAAATGCTTGAGAGACCATTACGTTTTGTACCTTATAGATATTCGTAGCATTTCAATGTTTACTATGAAATTAAATTCTTTATTATTCTCTCAGATAAATTCAGTGTTTTCGGGAGGTTTAATTGAGTAATTTTTACATTCATTTCAGAATGCTGCTTTTTGTTATTTTATTAACATTTATACTGTACATATCCAAAACATATTGCATCTAAATTACAGGTAATTTTGTCAAAACCTTATGGGCCAACAGCAACATTTTCATTTACATCCTATCTATCTGGGGAGCATGTTATCTGTTTACAATCAAACTCCACAAGACTTGTGGCATTTGCAGGAAGTAAACTGGTAGGTGTACTTCTTAAATATTCTTCGTTGTAATAGTATTGGTTGTATACAAACTTCAGGGCTTATAAAATGGATGAGAGGTTTAATTTCTAGTAGAAAATTAAACATTTCCTCGTTATTGGAGATGAAATATTTATAATTCAACATTTCCTCATTATTGGAGATGAAATATTTATAATTATGAATATGAAAAGATGAAAAGACAATTCTGATATCTAATTTAAGATTAAAGAAGCGAGACTAATAACTATAAATTGATTTAATGTTTACACAGTGCTTTGAATGTGGAAGGATTTTGATCAATAACAACAACAGTCTGGATTCAGAAAGATCAATATGTGAGACCAACTAACACAAGCACTGTCACAAAACTACTTATTTAACGCTATTGCATGGCTTCACTATTTAGCTTGAATTATTTCAGAAAACATTTAAAAACTACTTTGAGCAGAGAATAGAAAATATTTTCATAATGGTTAAAGCAGTACTAGTATAAAACAGTGCCCTAAATAATTAGGGAACATTTAAAATTTGCATAGTTAATTTTAAAATGAAATTAAGAAACACTTTACATATTCCATCTGATTCTTACTTTAGGAAGGATTTCCATAAGCATTTAGAACTATTTTTCTGTAATGAGCTTAAGGGAAAATTGTCTGCTGTTTTTAAGGAATTATGAAATCAAGAAGACACAGTAATGGGAATATTTTTTTTTGTTCTCAGCGTATCCATTTGGACATTAGAATTGGAGAACATTTCCTGGATGAAGCTGTTGTTCAAGCCAAAGACAAAGTGAATAAAGTTAATGTTGAAATAGAACATCTTCTTGAGCAAATTCATCACATATCCAAAGAACAAAACTATGAAAGAGTATGTGTGTTTCTTAATATAAATATTAAAGAATACTTTGTAATGGTTTATTAATAATTAAGTAATGTGAGGTTTATTATTTAATTGCAGTATTATGTTTTGCTAAGCCATAAAAAAAAAATTAAAAAAATTAACCAAAACATCCCACATTGCCTAACAAAATATTTCTAAACTGTAAAGAACAATATAAAAACTAATTAATCACTATGAATTCATGGTTATAACAGCAGGTGTTGTTTTAAAGAAGGAATTTCCAAACATAGCTTTCGTGGTCAGAGCCAATGACAGCGGTGGAGCAGGTGGCAGGTACCACTGCGGGTGATGTTGCCAGATGTTGTTTCCATGCTGGTCTTTGTGTGTAAACTTTACTGCAATGGCTAAGGAAACGACTGAATGTGATTTATATATTCTTATTTCATTACAAATAAGGCCCTCCTTCAAACAAGACTGCACCCATTATCTTCATTTTTCTACATGCGGGCAGATCGTGTTTACAATTTATCAACTAGCTCCCTAACAAAACAAATTTGGCTGCAGATAGTTTCTTGACTGCAATGTGGAGTGACTGCAAACCTGAAGCCTTAAGCATGTATTTATGGGACATAAGTATATATCATTGTATCACAATAACAATACGTATTTTAGCAACAAGGGAAACATTGCCTTTCTGCTTCAGAACAGGAGTGTGTTTGCTTCTTAGCTTTTATTTGTACATAGGACAACATATGAATAAGAAGAAATGTTCATTTTTCTCTATACAAAAAAAAAAACCCCAACCAAATGTGCTTACTACTATGCAGAAGAAGGGTGTATGTCTAGTTAATAGGATAGTAGTGTGTAACATGCAGAGTTGGTAGTAATAATTATGTTTTTTTCTTTCTTTTCTTCAGGAACGTGAAGAAAAATTTCGGAAGACAAGTGAACAAACCAACAGAAATATATTGTGGTGGGCTGTTGTACAAACATTAATCCTTGTCTCCATCGGAATCTGGCAGATCAAATCTCTCAGAGATTTCTTTATAGCTAAGAAGCTTGTTTAAGTTTTACAAAGATGCAAAATTTCCTTGCTACCTAATGCCTAAAATCCAAAGAAACCCTGTTATCTTTGAGAAAATACACTGTATAAAACTCTCAAGCTTGACTCATCTTCTACTAGAGTTTTTACTCTAACTCTCTTTTCTCCATTTATATGTATCTGGCCTTCTCTTAAGTTTTAATCCTTGAATCTCACCTTCTATCAATTCCTTTTCCTCTACAGATATGAAGATAAATCTAGAAGAAAGACGAAATGTCTAAGGCAGCATTCAAGCTCAATTCAGGATTGTTAAATTTAAAAGAGAAATCTAAATAAGATGTTTCCAAATACTTCAAAATTCTCTACTTGTTTAGTAATATTGTTCTTATTGTCATGAACAGATCAGTGTTTCAGCTCTGATTGACTTAGTAGGAAGACAAACAATTATCTCTCTTGTGGTGAGAGCATCTTGAACACAATACCAACTTTTCCTCAGGTATAATTGTGATTATTTTTTTTAAATATTCAAAGATTTACATGACAGTGGAACCTATTGTGATCAATTACCATGGAAGAGGGAGATCCGTACAAACTGCTTGGAATTGCTCTCCATTTTTGCTCCTAGATAAGCCCTATAAATTAGGATATGGAGTTGAGATCTGACCTTTCCCACAGTTTACGTTTAGCCTTTATGAAGAATGACAACATAGACTAAGTTACAGTGGCAAACACTGAAATTTTGCCTATATATTTTCTTTTAAGGTATACTTACACTAAATTCTGCATTCTGATGCTGTATTGATGATTGTTTAATTTTAATTATTCAGTAACTGTAACATTACTGTCTAATGAACTTAGCAGTATTACTTATTGCAGCTTGACTGAATATATCTGAATGCCTCGATTTAGATTACTTTCTGTACAACCACCTGAGTAACTACAATATATTGCAGTCATGAGTAAAAAGCTGTGGTTTAAAATTCAAATAATTAGCTTGACAAAGCAACATTAGTGTAAGAACAGGAGGAGATGGCATGATCCACCTCCCCACCTGGTTAACACATAAAGAGACAATCTTTAAGAAGGCGTTCTGGAGAGCACTCTGAGAGAAGAGTGCTGCATTTTGTCCTCCTGCTCTTTTTTTTCAATTGTTTTTCTAGTCTAAAAGTTGTAAGCTGAAATACCTCTTGAGAAATTCTAAAGGCAGAGCCTTCTTTCTTTTACCTATATTCCTTCTCACCTTTTGTTTTCATTACCAAGGAATGACCTTGTTCTGTAAGTAGGTTTCCTTTCGCAGTATGAAAATGTATGTGAGAATCTCTATAGTTACAAAGTAGAGATAAAAAACAGTGCTCTACAGACAAAATCAATTAAAATAAAATCTTATAATAAAATATGTCTTTATAAAAAAAAATGCCTTTATAAAATCTTATAAAGCTACTCTCTGAGATGTGTCCTATATTTAAATTTCCAATACCTCGGGAACTGTCACTTGAAATGACCAATATGTGAGTGCTATTAAATTCACTTCTATGGAGTACCCATTTACAATATGCCTTGTAATAAAACGTTTGGTTTTGGGAAAGAAGAAACATAAGTTACACCTATATGGTATGTGAATTTTAGGAAGAAATCTTAACAACAGGGTCAGGCTTTGGCTGATATTTAGTGTAAGGCTCCTAATACACCCCAATAATAAATATAAATAACCTCACTCAAAATGCAATTGTGCTTTTAAACCAAGGGCAAGCACCATGTCAGAACTCACAGAAGAGATGATTAAACTCTTCAGTATTATGTTTAACCACAAAGCAGCACTGAGACTTCACGTCTCAGTTAGAGAGCTCTTCATTCTTTCTTAGATTTTTTGTTGTTTATTTAATATCTTTGCTTCAGTGAAATGCTTTTGGTGTCCTTCAAGATTCCTAACTAGAAATAGAAAACAGAAGCTCAGTTGCAGCTCTCTGGGGCAGTTCTCTGGGGGCAGCAGACTTCTTAAGGCTCCTATGCAGCCTGTGTGTGTGTGAGGAAGTCTCATGGCGAAGCGCCCACACAGAGCCCTGCTGAGGCTCTGTCCCCTGTGGAAGGAGGGAGGAAACACAGAGAGCACCCTCTCTGTGGGCACCCTCTCAGGTTTGGTGGCAAGCGGCTGCGAAGCCCCTGTTATTGTGGAGTGAGGGTTAAATCCTTCTTCCCCCCACTCTCCACAGAGGGTGGAGTAGGGGTGCAGCCAGCTCTCAGCTCGGGACAGATGGACGTGACAGAGGCAGGCCTGTAGGCCTCGCAGGGTGGGTGTCCACCTCGCCCTCAGGCTCCTTGCAGCCTCTCCTGCCTTTCCACCCCATGGCCATCCGAGTATTTTGCAACTCCTGCTTCTGTGAGCCCCGCAAGGCCTCGCCACGGTTTATCTTCACCAGCTGTGGCCATGTCATCTGTGAGCTCTGCCTCCAAAAAGGTAATGGCTGCCACAGGCCAGGCTTTCTGCTCCAGCCAGGCACTGCTGGCAGGCACATCTTTACATTCCCCAAAGGCATTACTACTCCCTGTAGAAAAAAAAGAAAGGCCTTTACTTTTGTTGGCCTCCTGTTACTGATAAACCTTTTCAATTGCTGCCACTGATTAATTTGCAAAAGCAACCTGTGAAGGCCTCCAGGTGAATCTGGCTGGAGGTATTTGACTTTGAGAACAAGCCTTAAGCACCTAAATAAAAATTGAGCCCAGATGCTTATGAGCCATGCCTGCATTATAAAAACAAAATAGGATAAGAATCTCCTCAATCTCATTTTGGAAAGGGCATGTTTCTTCATTAGTGAGATAACAGTTTGTAAAATAAAGGATTTGTAATTCCAAGATAGATTTTGCTACTAGTCTGAGGACGTTTTAAACCTCAGTATTGTCAGTGAAATGCTACAAAAATTTCAGGAGGGTTAGGGGGATTGTAGGTGATGTTTTGAAGCTCTTATGTGCTACACTCAGTTTCTGAGACACATTCTGGGAATCCTGTGGCATTCTCCCATGAGGATATCTGGCAAGGATGTAGGGGAATAGAAAAGCTCCTTTTCAAAAGAAAAAAATTAATATTTTTTCCCCTCTTGGTTGTATGAGATGCCTTACTTTTATTAAGCGTAGCAGAAAAAAGTGGTACATCTTTGTTTCATAATTAAAAATAAGTCTTTTGCCTAAAAGACTTTGCATTATTGCTATAGAAGAGAGAGGATATAAATATAACATGCTGGCTGATAGAACATGCATCACAGGTTCTCTTTCTGTTATTCTAATTTGGCAAAAAACGTCTCTGAGACACCATTTTTTTTCTGAACTCAATGATAATGAAATGTTATCCTCTTTAAAGATGCTTAAGAACATTGATCTTTAGGACTCTTAGGCAGGGAGCATCTAATAAAATTATCAAATTTATTGTAGTCATATGCATTTACTAGAGGTAGTTGCTAATACATTTACAAATAATCAAAGAGACATTTAAAAAGTAATGAAGTTTTAGAAAGGGATTTAAAAGGTGATTAATTTTTTCACAGAAAAGAAGAACAAGGAGAAATTATTAATTCTTTGAAGTTAAGGTTTCATATATTTTATCTATAGAGTAAGACTAAGCCTCAAACTAAAAAGTCATATATCTGGTTGGCTCTAATTCATTAGTGCACTTAAGCATGCACTTAATTAAACCAGGCAAGTAGTCCTATTTAAATCAAAGGAACTAAAAGTCACCTGCATTCAGTGACACTAATGATATTCATAAAATCATTTACATGAATACTTATTTGCAGGATTAAGACATGATGATATTCACATACAATTGTGTGTACTGGGTTGCAGACTCAAAGTCTTTATTCTTGTTTATTTGAATTTCTTATATAACATTCACATTACTTCTATAAGCTTGAAACACAGGTTTAGGCAACAAATTCTATCAAAACTATATACAATATCTATTCCATTTGATGTATATTTTAAGTGTGTCTTTACTTACAGGCAAAAAAGATGAATGTTTGATCTGCAGAACTCCTTGTCGTACAGTATTCCTTTCAAAAGAGGTAAATGGAACTTTAGTACTATTATATTGCATTAATCTGTGGTTTGTTTAACAGCTAAATTATTTGCATTACAAAATACTTCCTTCTGTTTGCCAACTGTGACATGAATATTTATTGATGATAGCTTGGTAGCCTTGAATTCTTTTGCACTATTCTGCTTTTAGTTTTACAGATTTTCAAAGAAAAGTCTACATAGACTTTTTATGTCCTCTGATTCTGTTAGACTGTAAATCACTCAGGCATTTTCAAGAAATGTGACTGGTACTTTGTAACATCAGTAATCTGTCAAAATGTGAAAAATATTTGTACATCAGAGAAAGTGAACTGTAATGAATTAATTTGTGTAATGGACTCAAGAAAATTTGCATGCTGGCCCGTTGACGTTTTCAAGTGTATTGGTCTTTTTCTCCTTATTTTCTCTTAAGCTTGTTTTCCTCATGACCCTGTGAATATTAAATGATATGGACTATTGAAAAGAGTTATTCACAAGGCAATGAATAGCTTTTAGTTCTCTTAAGAAATCATTAGGAATATTTAATTTTCTCATTTCTCCCATGGAACCAGAAGATGTTTCTCCAAGAACCATCTTCCACTTAGCTGATTTCATAAGGGGGCTTTGAAAATATTCATATTTTCCTAGAGTGACATCTGGCTAAGAGACAAGAATGCCTTAGAAGTGTAGAAGAAAAGCACTCAAGGCATTCAATACAGTTAAAACAGCAGTCATATAAAGCTATAAGGCAATAATGCATGTGAACTAGAGGACATTTTGGGACTAACCATGAAGAGGTGACCTTGGTGAAAAGCATGATTTCTCTATCTGTGTTTAAAATTGTGCTGATACATACATAAATACTAAAACCTGAAGAGGACAATGCCACCAAAAAGTAAATCATTGCAGCAAAGGAGTCAAATGCCAATATAATTAGAAAGAACAACGAACACCACAATCAAATAAACCAGAAAAGAAACGCAGAGAACCTCCAAAAGGAGGCATTTTAATAAGTCTTCATTATCGGCTTGCTTAGATGTAAGTTTTATTATCAATTTCACTCATAGAATAATTTAGGTTGTTAGAGGACTCTGGAGGTCATCTTGTCCAGCCTCTTCCTCAAAACAAAGCTAAATTCTGGGTTAGATCTGTGTTAAATTGCAGCATTTCAAATTGATAATTTAATTTAAATATACTGAAGGAATTTAAAAAATGCAATGGGTGTTTCGTTAGAACCTGCCATTGCTCTGGAGGACAGAAAGGCAAATTACCATATTCTTAAAAAAAAGGCATGAATGATGATTACTTAGCCTTGATTAAGAACAGATAAAATGATTGGAATGTTAATTAAAGATGCGCAGAAAGAAGTCTTAAGGCTATATAATTTAGGAATCTGGGTGGAAATATACCTGGAAACCTTTCTATGCTTGTGCTATGGCATTCTCAATGAGTAGGAAGTCTTGTAAATGTGTTAACAGTCCTCACTAAATTGTATGTTGCTGTAATCAACATCCACACGTTAAATATTCTTATCTTTACATCAGTGCATGCCAGTCACCTTTCTGCTTCCCTCCTGTGGTCCTCACTTGCTCTTTCCAAGAGGATCATTAAGCTTTCTGATAAAACAAAATCTCACTGTTCATGATTTCAGAATATCTTGTTAACATCTGCTACTCTTCCATCAACAAATAATATTTAAAATGTTTTCTACAGTCCTTCATTTTAAAGAGTTTATAACTCAGCAACAAAGCTTATTTTTATTTCTTTCAGGATCAGAGACTCAAACCAAAGTTGTTGCTCTGCCAGAACTCTAAATAAATTTCTAGTGCCATCCCCTATGAACACGTCTTAAAGACTTCAAATATATTTTCACTGATACTTTGTCTTGCTTGTTTTTTATTTACTCTAATGCCTTAGATAGCTTAGACTGTACCATTGCTCTGTCAGCTTTTTTCTTTCTCATTCTGTCTGTTCACCAGGTGGAACTTTTTGAATGCTTTGGCTAATGTCAACCAAATTCAAAGGGCAGAGGATATTCAATTACTATTTATTTCCTCCCGTCTTTGAAAATTGGTAGTTGGGGAAAACAAAGAGAAGCAGTTTAGTTCCCCTGATGAGAGAAATTCAAGTTCATCTTAGTAGGTAGAAGTGCATTTGGCAGCCACATGCACAGTGTTGGAGTAACAGTCTGTGCATGCTGTCCCTGCTCAGCTAGATTGCAGTACAGGACATGGCTGTAGCAGATATCAGAACGTGGGGAACAAAAGATAAAAATCTACAGCAAATTGAGGTTATTAATTTAACTTCTCACGTAATGATTTTTCATACACATGAGACTCATTTCTACAGATCGTAAAAAAAAAATAAAATACACACTGAAGGCAGATTTGGGAAATGAACCTGTTACCTACTCATGGTTATCTGACCAGTGTTACACTATTTCTGGAGTAGATAAAAATGTTGTCTCTCTGTATGTTTGTGCATTCCCACATGGAGGAAAGCTTCCTTCTTTTGTTATTTCAGTGTAATATTTCCAATTTAAGTGATAGCACTTATCTAATTTCTTGATAGCTCAGAAGAAGTGTTGATCCATTCATAGATGGCCTATTTCTTATTTATTTAAGTAATCCATCTTTCTTTCATTTTTCAAATTTTCAAACTTTCGGAGAGTCTGCAGAACTTGAAGTATAAATTTGTATTTTGCTGGCAATGGTTTTAGTGCTCTTCTACTGGTTTTTGAAAGGTGAATCCTTACATAACAAATGTCTATTTTCTGCTTATATCTTGTCTTACCAGTAAATGTGTCGGGATGGTTTTTGTTTCCAGTTTAGAAATAGATGTTTTCTTTATTTATTTGGACTAGATTTTTCATTTTGAAAAGCTATTTGCAGTTACGTTAGAAATCATGCAAGGTTCTCAGGTGAAGGAGCTGTGATCACTGATTGCTGCCACTCTGTAGTATTTTAGGCTAGCACTCTAACCAGTGTAATTGTTTTGGGGGGGGGATATGTTTTGTTTGTAGTTTCTTATGTCCTCTGGAAATTTTTACTGTCTTTGTTGCAATAAGTGTGTGAGCACTGCAGTTAGACAAAAGCACAAAGCCTTCCAGATATTTAATATAGATAGTAAACAAAACTGAGCTTGTTTTCAGTTTCTGTATTATCCTACTCCTGATCTGTCCATTTTTGATTTATCTACATTCTACATTATTCACTTTAAGGAGCACTTCACCAAATGTTTTGTATAATAGATCTTGCAAGAAGTACTAACCTTGCTGTACTTTATTTTCCTGCTAGACAAGTCCTGAAATTCAGTCACTGTTCATGGGAATAGACACACTGTGCAAGAAATATTCAAAAGAAATAACACAGGTGAATCACCCTTCTTTGTAATTGTGTAAAATAATTAGAAACTTCTACTGCTTTTTTTGAAAGTAGGAAAAATACGTGAATGAATGCCTCACATTGTTTGACTGTTACTCTCCTTGTTTCCTTAATTTCACAGTTTTAAAGTTCTTAAGAAAGCATAAATTGCTTATCATGCCCTTTGCTTATGTTTTCAAAATCTCTCTGCAGACCACTTGTTCTGTTTCAATAATGTAAAATCACTTTCAATGCCATGAAATGAAAAATGAAATCTTCACCAGGCCCAGATAACGTACGTTAATTTTAGGAATCCGCAGTTACATGGTCAAAACCTAAGCTGGCAAAAGCTCTGAAATGGATGCTGCCTTGTTTTTTTTACTTTTTTCTTTAACAAAGTAAGCAACTTTAACAATTTCCTGGTCTCAAAACCTAGATTTATTAAAAATAAGAACAATAAAATTAAGAACAATATGATTACTAAAAAAACGTGAAAAAAACCCCATACTCTGATCTGCCTTGTTTTAAAATCAGAAACAAGAAAAGATTTCAAGAAATACTTCCTCTCCACCTTCCACAAAATCCAGACTGGACCCCATCCTTCAGGCTTAATTTCTGCTCCATGAGCATAAGTAACTTTTTGGGTTAACCAAATACATATAAGCTCCCACTGCATTTTCAACTCCATATCTTCAGCCTGGCTTTGAGATTTCTCCTTGTCTCTCACGGAACATTTCATTGGCAGCTTCAGCCACTCTAGTCGTACTGTAAGTAATGCATCCTCCCTGCACTGACAAGCAAGTTTCATTGTTTTGTGCCAGTACCTGTTTGATCTTGTAGTGAGCTTACAGATCCAGCAGAAAAATAATAAAGGGAAAAACAAGGGAAAATCAACTTTTCATCTTAGAAATCTCCTAATTGACAATGGTGATTATAGATTTGCTGTACTTCACAAACCTTTCCGAAGTTGAGCACAGTCCTTTCTCACAGCAATCCTCTTCCTGACACAAGGTAAACAAGAAGCCTTCCTCTGTTGTGTCAGGCATACAATGTAGAAAGACAAGTAGTTATTCTGTAAACTGAGCAAATCCAGGGGTCTGCATTATCAATCACATCTGAATGCAAACTTCTGTAACGTGCCAAAGAAAAGAAATGAGGGACATGATCTTGAAAGTTTAAGGTTGTTATTTTGGTAGTTTGAGATAACCTATAGGAAATAAATGGCCATGTAAAATCTGGAAAAAAATCAAGAATCGGTCATAATTTCCACTGGCATCAAAGGCTGTAAAATAAGCTTGTTCTGTGTTAGAGCAAAGCATTTTATAATCTAGTAATTAATCACAACAGCTTGTGCTTAGGAAAGCATATGGGAACAAGGCTCCTATGTAGTAATTTGTCTTCAGAACAGGCTCCTACTGTCTAGCAGTTTATGGCACAAAGATTTCTCAAGGTAGAGATGGTACCATGGATTTCAAAAGTTTTTCTTCTTGAAATTGTCAAGTAGTTTTCTGAATATTTAGCATCTATCATATAATAGGATGTCTGCAAGTTGTACGCAATGTGATGAGTATTTCCTTTTTTGCATATTTTATCTTGCTATCTGATTTCTTGCTATCATTTGATTTCTTGCATCCTGTGCAAGAGGAGAAGCAACAACTCCCAAGTACTCTGTGCTATTCATTAGTTTTAGGCTGCTAGCATATCCCATCTTCAGCTATCTCTTTGCCAGCAATGAAGACTTGTAATCTATTCAGTCATTCTTTGTATTGCTGCTATTTAATACCTCTAATTTATCTGAATTGTTTCCAGAGCTGCTATATCCTTTCTGAGATGGTAAGAAGACTCAGGGTGCAGTATAATCATACACATTGACCCTGAAATGATGATGCTGCCTATTGTTTTTAACCAAAAATTAAGAGAGTGCTTTGAGGTGACCTGATAGCGGCCTTTCAATATCTAAAGAGGAGCTACAGGAAAGAAGGGGACAGATGTTTTAACAGGGTCTGTTGTGATAGAACAAGAGGAAATGATTTCAATCTTAAAGTAGGTATGTTTAGGTTAGATGTAAGGAAAAAGTCTTTTACAATACAGGTGGTGAGGCACTGGAACAGGTTGCCCAGGGATGTGGTGGATGCCCTGTCCCTGGAGACTTTTAAGGATCAGGGCCCTTACCAGGCCCTGGGCAATCTGATCTAGCTGTGAATATCCCTCCCTGTTCGTTGCAGAGAAATTGGACTAGGTGGCCTTTAAAGTTCCCTTCCAGCTCTAAAGGTTCTATGGTTCTATAATCTGACTGACTTTTTTTTACTTGCCTACTTATTAGCTTTAAAGAATTAAAAATTCTTAATTAGAATTTTAATTAGAAATTTAGTATGTGAGGAATTCTGATTGTTCCCTTCTGAATATTTCTTTTATCAATTCTTCAGGAGATACTTCTCACCTTTTGATAAGTATCCAGTGGGAACCTCCTAGGATCTTGCACTGTGAATCAAAAGTAACAATTTCAGTTACCTACTCCACTATGGGTTTATCTTCTCTGAGTATTCTTGGCTGTCTCTAGCCCTGTATATTTTCTCTCTCTTAATATTCTTTCTCTTAATATGTCAGATTTTCTTTCTCTTAATATGTCAGAAGAAAGATTTGTTAGTAAGCTTCTGCCTATTGTAATTTGTTCAGCAAGCTCTTGTCCTGCTTTGATTGCATCTCTTTATTATTAATGTGTCGTGGTTTATGATCCTCATCTGGACACAACATGAAGTGCTTACACATCACCTGATAGCATGGCTAACAATTATTTTTTAATTAACAAGATAGTTTTACAAGGCAAGTTATAGTTGCCAGTAAGACACATTACTTTTTATGTTACCATTAATTTTATGTATTTGCTTAGCACTAATGAATAAGAAACACTACAAGTAAATTGTCTTTCCAATTTCTTTACATTATTATTGAACAGTGTTAAAATACAAATTCAGTGAAATAAATCTGCCAACTCTGCCAATCTGTACTAAATTAATCTTTCTAAGATTTTCTATATCTGATTTTGGACATGGCATGGTTTTTTTGGAAGAATGTTTAAACAGTTATATGAAGGATATGTTAAGTATTTATCAAAATAGAGAAAAATATACATTCTTTGGTGAGGCTACATAAATGTAATTAGTTGAAGCTAGATTTGATTGTGTCAAATTTTATTTTTAGATTTCAGAATTTCAAGAAAAAAATCGTAAACATTTGCTAGCATACCACAGAGAAAAGGTAAATCTAACTATGATTTTCTTATTTTTGTTTATTATGTTTGCCTTATTACTTTGTTCATGTTTTACAAAACGTATTCACTCTTTATTAGAATACTTAGGATCCTTTCCCAGCATTGTCTCCTTTCTGTCCTTACTGGAGGACCAACACTCCATATGTGACCTAAGTGTGAAATGACAGAGGAAAACTCAGATACATCATACAAGTGCTTTTTCCTGCCATCCTCCTCTGCATGGACTCCGGTTTCTGGGAAAAACTGAGTACTCACAAAAAGGATTCTCACGCTTGCCTATCTTGTTTGTGGTCTCCTTCTTTCTTTCAGTACATCATCCTTGTCACATGCAACCAACTGCTCTCATGATCTAGATAAAAGTTTCTTTGTTGCTTTTTCTGCCAGTTTCAGACCCCAGAGTGCAGGTGTGTTATGTGTAGTATGGACACTTGGTGTTTATATTCCTGAAAATCTAACACCTGTATTCTTCTGGAACCCAGAAATACTGAAAACTGAATAGTTGTCTAACTTCTTTAAAGCGTTTTGGTATTAAAATGATAAGTTCTAGAGAGTGGCAGGTACGCTATTCTTGATATTTGTGCTGGTCACTCTCTTAATCAAACCTGGCTTAAATTAGGAAAAACAAATTAAGGAGGAGTATTAAAAAACCTCTTCCTACATCCACATTTTGTCTTTAAAATGTTTTGCAAAATTTCACATCTGTAAAAACATGCAATACCTCCCCCAAACAGTATGGTCTTGTAAAGATAAAGGAGGAAACGTTTTAAAGGTATTTTAAAAATATTCTGTGAAGCATGATAAGTTAACAAGAAAAGTTATAATTTGTCTTCAAATGAAAATATAAATAGTGTGAAGTAGTGGAGAATTAAAGCCACACAGGAAATTGAGGATAAAATACATATGCAGGATTGAAGCTATTGAATAAATTTTAACATGCTCCATAAAAAGTAATGTGTGATCATGTAATGAATAATCCTAAAAATGCACATAATAGGGAACCTATTTAATGTTCATTGAATTCTACTAGCTGGTAATGTTCTTTAATGGAGATTTTTTAGTCATATCTCTAGCACAATTAGAAATACTCTTCACATAAACTTATTACAAACAGATACTTCCATGAACTGAATACATTTTGAATCAGGAATAAAAATATGGACATATGGTACTTGGTGTTTTGGAAATACTGTTATTGTTGTCTTCTTCTGGTAATCCTATATTAACTGCTCTGTAAGTTTCGTATCATGGGATCATAGAATCATCTAGGTTGGAGACCACCCATGCTTGAGCAACCACATATCCTTCTTGTAATGAGAGGCCAAAAACTGAACACCATATTTGAGGCGCGTTCTCAACAGTGGCTCATACAAAGAGGCTGGCCTCAATGTTTCTGAAGCAAGCTCTGCTTGGCCACCTTAGCACACTGCTGACTCATGTTCAACTGTATGTCAACCTACATTCCCAGGTCTTTTTCCTCTAGGCAGCTTTTCCAGGCATTCTTCCCCTAGCCTATAGTGCTGTATGGGGCTGCAATTGAGCACAGCCCATCTATGCAGCCTATCCAGTTCCTTCTGCAAAGCCTTCCTACCCTCAAGCAGATCTGTTAGAATCTACAAAATTAAAAGGTACACTCAATCAATCCCCTCATATCAATTCCCCCAAGCCATGAGCAGCCAGGTTCTCCAGGAAAATACCCTAAGACAGTGTCAAATGTTTTACTGAAACGAGGTAAACAAAATTCATATATCCTTTCCTTCATCTAGTAAGCAGGTTATCTTGTCATTGAAGGAGATCAGGTTAGTCAGACAGACCTGCCTTTTTTTTCAAACTCATTCTGGCTTCTGATCACTTCCATTTGCCCTGTGATCCGCTCCACCAACTGCCATGGGATTGAGGTCTAACAGGTCTGTAATTCTCTGGATCACCCTTCCTGCCCCTCTTGTAGGTTGGAATCACATTTGTTAACCTCCACTCAACTGTCCTCCCTGGTTATCTGGAACTGCTGTTAAATTATTGAAAGCACCTTAGTGAGTATATCAGATATAGAAAAGAGAAAGAAAAATAGAAGAAAACTATTTTAGATGACTTTCTTAGTGTTCATTTATCCAGTATTATGCTTCTTAAGAAAAGATAAACGAAGTCTGTAGGTGCTAAACAGCAGTTCATGTTTTTAGGACTGTCTGGGTAATGTATCAGCTACAGACTTGCCCCCTTGTATCTAATAGCAGGAATGGCAGTGATAATCTAGATTAAAACCAAAAAGCACAACCTTTCAACGCTTTGGAATGCTGGCAGTGTAAAAGTGAAATTGTACATCATACAAAGACAGCTTGTTTAAATTTTTATGTCACAGAGAGTAAAGCTGGAAGAATCTCTGAGGAAAGCAAGGCAGCAACTGCATCAGATACAATGGTAAGAGGTTTAATGCAGCAGAAGTAAATAATTTTTGAAATCAGATTACAGTAGATTTAATTGATAAAACAATTTAAAATGCTTTTGTTGCCTTTTTCTCATATTGCAGAAATGGAATGAAAGTATTTTTTTCAAAAATAAATGAAAAGTGATTTCTGTCATCAGATCATCTTTTTTTTTTTTTTCTTTTCTTTTCTTTTTTTCTCCTCCCCAACCACACTATAAGGAAGAAATTGTTTTATTTTTAAATTCAGATCAGTGCTTACGCTAAAAGTCTTCAAAAACTTCTGGAAAAATACTTTGCCAGGCTTGGTCTTCTTTAGAGTCCTTTGTGTATATTTAAAATTTTTTCCTCCCTATGGATTCCTCTTCATCAAAGGAATCCTTCTCCATCTTGTCACGTTTATGATTATCAGTGAATGAAGATCCTGAAATAGCCTCGGTAGCACGGTTCATGAAGATGGCACTTTAATAGCAAAACACCATTGATCTTTAATCTTTATTACTTTACTTTTATATTGTTTTTTCATTTTTAGTATAGACTTTCTTTTGAGTCTGATATGCAAATAATACCGACTTATGCTTTCTTGTGGTAGTTGGTGTAATATAACTGAAGAAAAACACCATAAAGGAAGCTAGGTGGATTATCATATTTTGTATATTTTTATCCACTGCCTTCTTTTACTTCTCTGCATGTCATGTAACTAGCACCTTGCTTATAACAACTATAGAGTTCTTCTGAATTCTCACAGAATGCTATCAAGACAGCATGACCTAGGGGATCTCCTCATATGCTCAGCAGACCCGTTCCTCCTTTGTGCACTTATTGGCAGAAGTATCAGTTTTACGTAGCTGCCAACATTTCCTTTGAAATTCAGATTTTTTTAAAGTTGGGTAAATGTATACATGCAAATGAAGATTTTTGACACAATTGCAGATCATAAGTTGTTATATTTTAACATGTTGTTCCATGAAATGGCCATGTTGTTCCATACAATCTCATTTCATTAGACATCATAATGTTTTCTTAAATTTACCCTACTGAGCATGCAGTGACTAATGTAGACATTATGTAGAAAAGACGAACTTATTAGCTGCTCAGATATACTGCATATTTTGCTTCCTGGTAAGCAGTGTCATGTTAAAACCAGCTATTAATGTATAAAAAGTACTTTGATATTGACCAGCTAGAAACATGAGGTAACCAAACCATCCTTCAGTTTATATCCATGTTTCTTTTTCTCTTTTAGTATGAAACCTCCTCAGCAAGCTACTCAACTGCCATTTGCCAGTACAAGCAGAAACCCACTTTCCAGTAAGAAGCACTGGTTTAAGATATTAACAGTGGAATGCATATGAGTGAACATAACAATATTCTCATATTAATTTTTTAAAATTCTTTAATAACTTTAGTGCCTTCAAGAAGACTGAATGGGTATTCCTCATATTCTCGTCAACCTAGTCATCCTTCTACTTCTGAAACGTAGGTGCAAATCCTTAATTTTAAATGGAAATGTAAAGAATGACAATGTTGTAATATCTTATACCCCAAACACTGTCTTTTAGAGTTTAAAATGAGTATCTTTTTCTGATTTATTTGTTGTTTGTTTCTGCAAACTGTGGTGGTATAAAGGCACTGGGGATATCTATCCTAGAGTACATAATAGCTGGTTTTATAGATTGCCTTTGTACTCACTAGATGGCATGATGCACCTTATTCTGGAGATGTCTGTACAGACGATTGATTAATTGGTGAGCAACGAGAACTCCTCCGTTTAACTGTAGGGGAATATATAAATGACTTGTACAGACAGCTGTGTTTGCACTGTAGTTATTTAGATAGGATGAGCTTCAGCAAGGCATGCAATGCCTATTTAATTTTAAATAAATTGAACATACAGTTCACTCAAGCTAAAAGATATCTGTATTTATTCATTAAAAAAAAAAATTCAAAATGCCCTTGTAGTGTTGACAAGTAACAAATAAGTGAGTATGATATAAAATAAATTTCTTGGCAGATATCTAAACGAACCTCAGTATCAGCTGATGGTGAGCTTTGGAACAGGTGCAGCATACTTTTTATATGTGACATGTTACATTTTTAGTTATTAGTAAATTTTACATAATTTTAGTCACTGTAAAGAATGTGCTGTTTTTAATTTCAATGTCATACTTCTTTTCACATTTGTTGTAAGAATGGAGTCAATGGAGGTTGATCCTGTACCTTCACCAATGAGGAAAGTAAGTTTCTGTATATGTGTGTGTGTGTACATGGGGTTGTGTTTCTTCAACCCCATTACCACTGTAGAAAAAAGATCACTACTTCCCTGACTTCCGTCCTCCTCAGCACCCTGCCTGCCTCCAGTTCAGACCAATTTGTACTCACTTCAGCTAAGTAGAAGTTCCCCAAAACAGAAAAAAAAAAAAAAAAAAAAAAAAAGAGCCTCAACACTGTTTTTCTAGAATTCTTCACATATCACAGAATAGCTGAGGTTGGAATGGGACTCTAGAGGTCCTCATCTCCAAATTCCTGTTCAAGCAGGGCCGCCAGCTGTCCCAAACAGTGTCCAGACAGCTTTTAAATTATTATAAACTTTGTCTCTCTAAAAACTGTAACTTAGTTCTGAGATTTTGCTTTTTAGTGCCATGAACAAACTTGGAAGTGGAGAGTGCCAGAAATCTTCAGGTTTATAGTGCTCCAAACAGTAACACTCTTGCTTAAAATACATTAATGATGAATGCACTTATACACTGTAATTAATACTATATTTTTCTTTTAGCCTGAGACAATGACTGGTCCAGCAAGATTATCAGTTATAACTCCACCACAGGATGGACGCATGGGTAAGTGAGAAGAAAGTTGTTAACGGAACAAAATGTATCACTTTAAGGGAATTAATAAATTAAAATTGTTGCATTAGCACTTCACTGTCAAAATGTGAATTGTGTTGAGGTGTAAACAATTCATCATATCGAATTCAGCAGATGGGAAATGGTTAAAAATGGTGAACAGAATAGTTTTCCCACTACTTACCTTCTCTGTTCTGTTAATATATATATATATATATATAGTGACATTTACTGATTTATTCACAACCGGAGTCAACATATCTAAAGAAAATACAGTAATGATGTGGTTGAACAAAACATACATACTTAAATTATATGTTGTTGGCCTTCCAATGGCCTTCCTGATTATGCTAGTTTGTATATAGTTACCAGAAACTGACATTGTCCAAAATGTTATGCTAAAAATCACTTGAGGGAAGGAAGGAAACTAAACTGAAGTTAGATAAATATTTTGTAACAAAATTAAAGCTTATTTTGTAAACAGAATTAAATCTGAAGAATTTAGATGAAGGATTTCTTCTCGTTTGTTAGGCATGCTATTACTATATTTAAGTTGAAGACATTTTACATGACTATGATTTCTTTCCTTGGCTGTTAAGATCTTGGGTGGCTCTCCTAGGTAAATAAGACATAAATGACAGCCAATTGAAAATAGTGTGATTTCTCTAGGCATTGTTTGTTTCTGAGGAGTTTCCTAGAATTTCTAATGCTCTGCAGGTCTCCACCATTTCTGTGTCCCTCCCCTCCTCAGTATTACATTCAACACAGTTCTGCAATAGTTCATCCTCTGCAATTTTTGTTTAGCTTGGAGAAGAGAAGGCTCTGAGGAGACCTCATTGTGGCCTTCCAGTACTTGAAGGGAGCTTATAAACAGGAGCCTGGTCTGGTAGTTGTTGACCCTGCACACGGCAGGGGGGCTGGAACTCAATGATCATTGTGGTCCTTTTCAACCCAGGCCATTCTGTGATTCTATGATATGATTTATCTTACAACTGGCTTCAGCAGTTAGGAGAATCCATCTCCAGCTACATGCAGAGTGTACTTCAGTAAATGTCTTTTTTGAGCTAAATCCCTGCAAATGGTTTTTTATTATTATTATTATTTTTAGGGTTATTTTAATTCTTTCTGACACAGTAACTTCATTTTATCAGCCATTCCCAGGTATTTAATTTTCTATTGTAATTTTGCAGTGATTCTCATTCTTGAATAAACTGATCATGAATTTGTCCCAAATAATGCAATTAGGGTATTAATAATATTTTCCAAAATGATCTCCTAATTAAAGAGGATAATTCATTTTGGCTCTGTTGTAAAAAATGTAATTCTTACAGGTAGTGTATCCTACAGAAGTTCTCAGTCATCTGGAATAACATCAAGTCAAACTACAGCAGTAACTACCAGGTAATTAAAAACCTTTCAATGATGTTAACAGTCTCTTGTGAGACACTGAAATTTATCTCTTGCCTAGCCTTTATAAATCTGTACATTGAAAGGCTGTATTTTACATCTTAAGGAATGTCACTGTGTAACATTTGCATAGGCTACTAGCTGTCACCTATACAAAAGTTAATATTATTTGAAGATTATATTTTGAAAGTACTTTCTTCAAAAATGTGCAGAGATAATCTGAGTTCCTGTACCCGTGGACATCTGAAATCATGGTGCTTTTATACAAAGGGTAGTTAATTTCAACTAAGAATGTGGAATAAGCACTCTGCTTAATAACTCTTCTGAAAGTCAAGAATGTAAATGTAGTGTCTATGCAAGAGTTATTCTCTGATTAAACCAAACATCTTCATTGGGTGCGTCATGGGTCTTCTAATGTTTTTCATCTAAGTAGTGAAAATATCTTAATTTTCTAGAACTATCAGCATCAACAGAAGAGATATGAAATGGTTACAGAAGAAGATAGTCTTGTAGTCTGCAATCAAGCTCAGTGTGCCTCCTTAGCATAAATTTTAAATATATGCAACAGAATATTTCTTTTCTATCTCAGACTCTTGGATTAGACCATTTGTTTTCTTCTGCTTTTTACTTACATAAAAATCATGTCTATCTAAAAATCCGATGAGGAATCTGTAGAACACAAGAATACTTTGTATTTCCTATTGAGATATTAACAATATGAATTAAAAAGGTTTTGAAGTCTCTTGTTCTGTGACAGCAGTCTCAAATTTTATCCATTAATAATTTTCATTAATAGATCCACACCTATAGGACTACCACATAATGGATGTTCACTTATATCACCATCCGGATCACAAAACAGTAGGAGGGGATCATGGTCTGCTTCTGATTTCAGAACTCCTCCATTGTATCAATTTACATTACCTTCACCACAGTCATCTGTAGCAAGACCTCCAATCACCATCTCTGGAATTCTACAAAGACAACATTTAGGCAAGTATCCAAGAAAATAACAACATTCAGCACTTTTTCCTGAAAGAAAGTCGGCACAATATATGCTTGTGAATGACTTATTTACTGCAAAAGAGTAAATAATAAATTATGATCCATATTTAGCCTTAATCTTCAGTGCAACAAAGTATCTTGCTTCACCCAGAATAATATTTTAAGAGGTTTAAATTTGATCATTTCCACATTGCTTTCTAGTAAAATACCAATTCTAAACAATTTGGCAAATCTAATCATGTAGTCTTGAGTAAAGAGCAGACAATAGAAAACCTTTAGTGACACAAGTGCAATGAATCAGTAGCAGTCATAGCAAGACTGAAATCATCAGCAGGAGTTCCTTAATAGAGCAGAATATTTGAGCTGACATATGAGAATGATGGGGAAAAAAAACCTGTCTATAATGAAAGGAATGAATAGGAAACAGATTCTGTACAAAAAAACCCTGAAGTGCTGTAGAAAGTGAGTGACAGTGGATGTCTCTCTATATTCAGTGAAGAAAAAAAGGGAGCACAAAAGGAAATCACAGCATTTGTAAGGTGAGAAGTATTAGTGATCTGACCATTAGGAAAAAAAGGAAGATGCATTTAGTTTGGGAGGAAAGGCTTAGATGATACTTGTAGTCATATCTACAAGCTGTTTTTCCCATATTCTAAACTATACAATATTCATTTATCTAATTATTACTTGCTACCCAATCACAGTCAGAAGGTGACATCATAAGTGAAAACTAATTTACATGTTCTAAAAAATTCTCTCATATTCAAATTATGAGTGCTTAATGAACTTGAATATGTCATAACTGCTTTAAATCTGGAATATCTGCATGTGAAATAATGCATAAGCCTTGCAGGTTCTATTTAAAAAACAGAGTAGATATCTACATTATTAAAATAAGCAGCTATGTGGAACTGAAGTACTCATTTTCTTTGAGCTATATGTTTTATAAATTTTCAAGCTAATTTAGTTCATAGACAGAACAACAATATTTACTTTGAACTTTCATTTCTGCAGCTGAAATTGAAATAGGACACATTCTTCAACAGAAAGATAAATATTTTATGTAAATAAAAGGAGCATATTTAGATTCATAAAATACTGTAAAAATCATAATCAAAATGTATCTTATATTTTAAACTTCTATTCATTTTTACTTTCCTTTTTCCCCAAATGATTTACATGAATAAATTCTTCTTTAGAACTTACTAAAATATTTCTGTTTGTATTCCTACTCTAGGATCAGCTAGTTTTGGAGGACAAACAGCGGAAAGATAAGCAAAAATCCGTGATTTATTTTGTTCAGTAAGCATTTTGAAAAGCTGTGCACTGTTGTTGGATATCAAAGTGTTTGTAATTTCTATAAAATGTCAAAGTAGCATAAAACAACTATTATTCAGCATGAATAATGTATCTAAAACTTGCCAGTAAAATCTATAGTAACTTTAAGCAGGATTACAAAAGATTCTGGCTTTTTAAAGGAATTTTGGTTTAAAATATACTGTAAGAATTGTAAAAATAAATTGCTTTTGTTAATGAAGTGTTAAGACAAAAGAATGCTTTTATATTCAATGAGCTCTTCTTCCTGTAAATGCAGTGAACTGCAGCAGAACTGATTTTAAATAGTTGTGCCTGTACAGATGAACCCCTGTCCAAAAACTATTTTACTGTTAGACATTAAATCAAATAGACATTTGATTCCAAAATCCAAATTTGGGTTCTTATTCAAGAGATTACCTTTTGTTTGCATGGTAAGGAATATGGTTTGAGGGCAATCGTAGCCTAGTAGGCTCTTCAGAACTTGTAAGACAGTATCTATACAGCATTCCAAGAAGCTTATCATTTGATTTAGGTAGCAATGCTGTCTTCTCAAAAATGCAATAAAATGGAAGAACTGGTTTGAAGAGGTACATCATGCCAGAGGCTACCTTTCCTCTCATAGAATAGCGGATGAGTGCTCTGTCTGGAAGGTCCCAGACTGCCAACTCTCCCATTGAAATTCCCACCATTACTGTGTATGTCTGGATAAATTTTGCTGGACTGAATAACTGTTTTGTTTTATTTTTGCCTAACTTTAGCCCTATTTAAAAAATAGGAAAACTATAAGATACGTTTGAGACTAAGTCCAGCTAGTGAATGATACAACTTTTTGGGGGTTAAAATGTTTTGTTTGACCTAAAAGAAAGTCTAAAATAGTAAAGAGAGTACAAAGGTGTTCTTCATTTTTGCTGCCTACTTAACTGTTTACTACACACACTTTAAGCATGCGACTTGAAAGAGAATAAAATGGATTGAGAAATAATTGGTTTGTGAATATCTATGGACCAGGAGCTTCTTCACCAATATTCAGATTTACATTTCACTTATTTCAGTGTGAAGTTCTTAAATCATGATTGCTTTAATTTTTTACCATGGGACGGTTTGTGTATTTTCTCCTCCTCAATGATCTTATAGTTAAAATTTTCAGTGGGATTTCAAATCAAATTACCTTTCAAGCAATTTTCTGTTTGAAAGACTTAATTTTACAGTAGCATAGACATATAATGAGTGAAAGAGTAATCAAATTATCTAAGTTCTAACTCTTCTCTACTTGAAGATGAGGTACAATAGCTTGAAAAAAATGAGGCCTGTAGAACACAGTTGCCAACTTCCATTATAAGCGTCCCTCAATGGCTTTCTATTTGTTTGTCTCACAAGAAGGTATTATTTATAATTTCCTTAATTTCTTCAATTTTCTATTGTATCTTATCCCTCTGTGGAGTCATCACCCAGGGTCACAGTCAAAAGCATCTCAACATGTCAAGCAGAAATGCCTTTGAGTGACATTCAAGGCATCCCAGTTCATATGAAACAAAAAGTCCAAAACAAATTAAAAATATATAAATATAAGAATATACTAAAAAAAAACAAAAAACACAACAGTTTCCTCCATCTGACAGTAAGCACAAAAGTCACTATATTCAGCTCCCAGGTATCCATCTTCACTGATATTTTCTTGCTTTGGAGATGAATTACGCTCGTTTACTTAAAGAAAATTTGCAGTGCACTAATGGTACACCAGAGGGTGCTAACTTACCTCTAAACAGTTTTAGTTCTACCACTCATTTGGGTAAGTGGCGTTCCTACATTAGCTTTTACAATTTGGGATTTTTATAGAAAAGCAAAAGATAGTACAAAGAAGTGCAATAAAGTGATGTTTGAGTTTGAAGATAAAATTTCAGAGAATCATCTGAATATGAAACAAAAGAGGAGGATTGAATGTTAAAACAATAATTCAGATAGAGTATTTAAAAAACTTCAGAAAAAATAAGAGAAGCAGAGATTAGCCATGCTTGTGGAGTTACAACGGTGGTCTGAAGGAAGAAATTAGTTAGACCTAATACTGGGAAATGCAGCAGAGTACTTTGGCAATGTGCTAGTTTCTGAGGATAGGGTCAATGCGCCCTCACAGTGGTTACTCAACACTTCTGAGAGAAGACAGCGTGGTGTATAGCTTTGAAAAACACAGAGACTGAGTGATCCATGAATTCTTTTCAGTCTTTCTGTCTGAAGCTTTCTGGCTTCAACTTGTAGGATAGCACTGATTTTTCTTTTGCAGTTTTGTGGGAGAGAACACAGGAGTGTATATATTTCACCACAAGGGTGTTTTATGAGTGTATGAAGAAAAGATTTTATTACTAGTCAGAATCATATTATTCATGCAGTAAGGTCACCATGGATGCTTAAGCTGGCCTCTTGTTTGCATTATCGTTGCCAGCTTCAACTTCATTTCACAGTCATCACTTATCTTTTTCACAAGGTGATAGTTATACCATATAAGGTAACATCATGTGTATTTATTGCTTAATAATACAAAAGAAGTCTGTAGTAGACAAAAGCTTAGTCTGTTAGACATAATATCTGATACTTGCCAAGTAGCATTTTCTACAATTGTGCCAATTAAAATGTGAAATTGCTGCTACTTGGTTTTGAAATCTCGTGTTCTGCCACTCTGCAGATCAGCTTAATCTGCCCCTAAGGTGCACGTTCTGCTGCTGATGGTCAGACGTGCAGTTGTGTCAAGCTCTTCCTACCAATCTCTCCTATGAGGACAGAAACATCCTTCTTAAGAACGACACTTCTCATGTCAATTCTAAATTGAGCGCAGCACCAGCACCATCAACTGCTACAAAACTTTACAAGGGAAACTGCATAATTTGCAGATTTTGCCGGTTGAAAATCTTCACGGAGAAGGTTAGTGATTTCCTGCTCAAAGCTCCTTTGGCAGGTGAATCCCATGGCCTCTGGTCAGATTTCCATCATTTATGTTTACAGCACTGATGCTTTGTCCCATGGAGAGATGCTAAAAGTTTGTTCCCGGACTCACAAGAAGATAGTAGTACTAGAGACTGGGATGTCTGTTGTCTTGAGGAGATAGAGAAGGAACTTTCATGGGATGGTGAGGAGGGACATGGGTATGAGTATTAAATGCTTTTCAGAGTTAGGAGTCAGCAAACAAGCAGTGTTATGAAGTTGTTTACTCTTAACCACCAGCAGAATAGGAAAACTATTTCTGTTCCATAACTGAAAACAACATGGGAAAGGTCCTTTAGAGCTCTGCCCATAAAAAAAAAGCAACAGCTCACTGATCTGACTTATCCTAGACCTATATAGAACCCAATGAAGTCAGGAAGAGGGCTGCTCTATACCCAGTCCACTTTGAAATCTTCTAAAACTTATCCAGAAGTGCTGCCAAGGCCTGTATGCAAAAAAAAAAAAAAAAAAAAAGTCTGCAAAAAGTCAACATTGCTGAAATAATCCACTTTAATTTTGGCACTCTACCTCATGCAAGTGTTTTTTGTTTTGTTTTGTTTGTTTATTGTTTTGCTAACCAGCACAGAGCCTTTGGAAGAAAGGCATACAACACATTTCCTATCAGGTCAGCCTCCATAATAAGATCAAAGGCTATCTATCAGCATGCTAAGAATCTGGAGGAAACAAAATAAAAAGAGGAAAATGAAGATCAGTCCTGGTAGACATTCCTAAAGGCTTTTTTTGGCTTTTACCTTAACCAAGCACATGTTACAGCCATGTTTGACATCCTTGCCCAGCACAGTGTTGAGCCAAACAGAAGCTGACTTTGGAGATGGTCTGACTACATCTGTGTCTTTATGAATTTGGCTGTGCAGAGTGCAGTGAAAAAGACATTTCAACCACCTCCAGCTCCTCTGAACTCAACTGATTGCAAATTGGCAGGAGGGCAGAGAGCTGGTAATGACAGCAGGTGATGATAAACAAGTCCCTGTGGAATGACAGTAAGGAGCAGGTGGGCCGTTTGGGATTACCCAGTCCAGTCTCAGTTAGATTTTGACTTCACTCTGCAAACAAGACCTGGCCTGAGAGGGGATCGGTTCTGTACGTGTTTGCTGTTATGTTCACAGCTGTCTGTAACATGGGAGCTTTATGAATTGGTGATCAAAGCAGGAAAAACTAGCTGGGAGGTGGAAGGCAGGGTAAGGGGAGGAGAAAAAAAGCTGTTTGGAACACTGGGGAACTTTTTCAGGGCAAAGAGCCACCTTCCAGTCTCACTCAGCTTTTCTCCCTGCTCATGCACATTGTCCTTTCTGTTGTTGCCCATGTGACATTAGTGATGGACTGGTCCAGGCTTGTTTAAAGAAAGGAGAAACAGAGGCAGCCAAAGAGCTGGTTGAATGCCTCTTGTCAAGATTCTGCTCTTTCTATTCTTTGGTATCTTGTTTTTAGGAATAGATGCACATATCTGGATTTTCTTTCCTGTTCAGTTCACTGTGAACTCTAAAATGAGCATTCCTAGCTTTCTGTATTTGTATTTCCCCTTCTATTACTATGTCTTTAGTACATAGAAATGACTAGCATATCTTTTACAAATTCTACAGCTTCTCTACTTAAGGAATAAATAGTTTAAGGAATAAGTAACAATCGTGAAGCAGAGGAATTGCACATTTTCACAGCCATCGAGCACTTATTCCTAACAGCATTTCACAGCATACCAATAGTCTACACTGTGTGCTGGAATAAAAGCAGCAAAGCCTTGTAATGCTACAGCACCATACATTAAATATTTACAGAAACCTAAAACAAGGAACTCCAGTTTGTGTGTGAACTACCAAGTTTGCAGACTGTTAGTGTTAGACTAAAAAGCTTCTAACACAGCACACGGCAAATACATTAGTGCTATTTTCCAGAAAGCATCATTTTCCCAAATTATAGGTCTTGCTGACAGATGCAGTGGAAAGGCCCATTCTGCCAATTGTCTGATTCCTTCATATCCTCTGATTTTGGTGCAAGTTTAAAGCAGTGTGCTTTAATAGCCTCAGCCCACTATTTTGAAAACTTGCAATGTTATATATCTGTGTGGAAAGTCACATCTCAATGACATTTGGTTGGCACAGTGGGTTTTGAGAAAAAATGTATGAGAAACAGTGTGAGCCTGTATGCAGTAAACTCCCATTTTATTTGCTCATATATCACTTTGTCAGGGTTTTCAATAGTTCTTGTGGAAAATGTGTGAATGAAATGTAAAGCAGCTTTTACATACAGTAAAGGTTTTTTTTAAACATAGTAGCTATTCTCACAACCTATGGCACATACGATGTGCTGGGTAGTACAGCCTTGTCTCCCTGTTAAAAAAAAACACCCAAGTAAACTCTTTGTCAAATTACCATTTTGCAGGACGTGTCCGAGGCTCAGTAACTGGTACCCAGCCATGGACATGGGGGAACCGTACCTTTGCTTGCTCTTGCCAATATGATGCTGTGGTTATGGATTTAGAGGAAAGCTGCTGCACATTTCCAGTTCAGCTTCAATCTGGGAACTGTGCAAGCTGTAACCCAGCTGCAGCCACTCTTGCTTCACACTGTAATTCACTGCCAGCTAATAATAATGTGAAGACTCCTGGAGCCTTTTTGCACAGCAAATGAAACAGCAGACTTACAGAGTTCAGGAACAGGGAGCTTAGAGTCTTATGGATGGGCTGACAATGCAGTTCTTGGCATCTCTGTAGGAATGGGCAGATGGGACAAAAAGCCAAATCCATGTTGGGGCACGGAAATGTATTTGGAGACCTTGAGCATCAGTACCTTGCACTCCTCCTCCTCCTAAACCACACAGATTGAGTTTACTACAGCCTATTACTAATTACTGTAGCTTATCAGTGGTATCTTCTAATCTTCTCTAAGCATTCTAGCTCTGTCATTCAGACCAAAGGGTGACTTCATAGGTATT